GAAACATGATACCCACGAAGGTCACATGATCTACCATATTTTGTATCTATAAAAAAGTGGTAACAGAAGTAGTGATTGAATGATAAAAGAACAAAATATAACATTCAACTGTTTTTATATAGTTTGGCTATACTGTGTGTAAATATATTAGTAATTTTCTCTAAGGGCACCATATGACAAAAATTATATTTCGTTTTGGTTGTTTCCTTTTTCAAATGCTAATTATATACCGAAATATTAAAGTTAAATAGTGTTATATCAAATACTCTAGAGAATTGTTAATGCTTACATGAAAAAAAATACCTACATTTTATCTTCATATGCATCCCAATCGTGATCCAAATTAGGATAGTCGCGGAGGGGGTCTAAATATGAACGCGGTGCAGGTTTCTGATGTCGCAAAGGTCTGGGACTAGAAGGCGAAGGTGCCGTACCTGCCGACCGACCACGTGAACTCGACAACGGCTTCTGTGGTTTTTCGTCACGTTGTTGTTCTTCTTCGGCACCCAGAAGTTTCTCGTCATCGCCGTCATCATCGTAGTACATTTTGTATTTTTTGTTTAAATAGCAGTATTAGTCCACGTATTCACTGAATGCAGTACAGTGGGCGACTAATACGAGTACAAAATTCGTCGAAATCCAGCTAATTTCTCAGTCGATTTTTTAAATGTATCAACTATACACCGATGACAAAGCTTTAGTATGTAGCGCAACGTGTCCAGCAGTGGTACTTGCTATGAATGAAATGCCAATACGACTATATTGAACATGACGTGACAATAAACAAAACAAATTCAGCGATAATTTATGCCGAAAATGTATGGGTATATTTAAAGTACTAAAAATAGCCACCGCTGGCTATGTCAGCTGTGCAACTTACGTGAGTGAATACCAATGATTGGCGCACTCCTCGGCAGTATACTTACATTTTATCCTCCTCTAACTCGTAGTCCATCATCATGAAGAATCAGATGGCTTAAAACTACACACCTTTAACAAATATTGGCGATTTTCACAATAAAATGACAAAAATATACAGACTTCAACATCTGCGCATGCGTAGTTGTAAAACGGAACTAGTTTCAAAGGCATTATGGGTTTTGTAACCAGTGTGAAGTTGGCACGCAATAAGAGCACATAATAGAAGTT